GTGGAGAAAAATTGGAAGGTTTTGAGAACTCGGAATGTCAACTCCCATTGTGTGTTAATGATCTTTGACAATGATGGAATAGATCTAAAAACATGCTTTTTGCTGAAATAACAATGTGTAGAAAAAATATAAGCCTTTTCCTGTGAAATTGACAGGACTGTCCACAAACGTTGAACCTCTGTGGACTGCTCTGTGATGCTGAATGCGAAGAATACAGCTGGCATTTGGGCTGATCCACATATTGGTAATTTGCCTAAAAAAGTTTGTCCTTTCCAAGATTGCATATGATGAGTGTGTAGTGAAAGAGGGGCCTAGTCAAATCAGACAACCCATCCTGATATCATTGCTAGAGTATTTGTTTTTAAGTGCAGCTTTTATCTTGTGGCTTCTGCTTAAAGTGATTATTTAATGCCCACACCTGGCTTTAAACCCTGCTATAATCCAGCATCATCCCAATTTTCTGGTAATCAGGATTATTTCCTCATTGTTTCAGATGTACAAAGACTTATTCTTGTGTCTTTGAATGTTTGCTTATGTCATTTAACTTCCGGTAGTATTCACTTTCTTAAAATTCTGCTTGGTGTTTTGTCCTCTGTTTACAACAATAGATACTATAAAAATGGCCTTACTGTGTATGTATACACACACACACACACATATACTAACTTACCATATACTATATTTACCATATGCTTAATACACACACATACACACACACACCATAATCCCCATAATGGTGGACTATACAGCTGTGAAAAGGAACAAGGAGGATCTCAGTACACAGCAATGGAATGATCTCCAAGATGTACTATTCTTTTTTTTTTTAAGATTGTATTTATTTATTTGACAGAGATCACAGGTAGTCAGAGAGGCAGGCAGAGAGAGAGGAAGGGAAGCAGGCTCCCCGCTGAGCAGAGAGTCTGATGCGGGGCTCCATCCAGGACCCTGGGATCATGACCCAAGCAGAAGGCAGAGGCTTTAACTCACTGAGCCATGATGTGTTATTATTCTGAAACAAAAACAAAAACAAACCAAGGTATGGAACAGTATTTGAAATAGGAAAGATATGTGTGTTTTCGAGAGAGAGAGAGAGAGAGTAAGAGAGAGATAAACACACATATATATGTATATTTATATATGGTGACAAAGTCCACTATAATGCTTAAGGTGCCCTTTATGTGGATCTATGAGGAGGAAATTTCCCTTTGGAAAATTACTACTTGTAACTAATCATGTTTTCTTAGTTGCTTTAACCACTAGGAAACTCAGAATCAGATATACAACTTTTCTTTAGTACTGAATAGATTCTTAGTACTGAATACAAATGACTTTATTTGCATGACTTTTCAACTGACTTCATGTTATTGTTCTGGCATTGGGGGGATGAGGGTGGTCCTCTATCTTTTAAAATTATTTACTCCTCAAAATATAAAATTAAAAACAATAAAATCATTTACTCATGTATTGCTTTTTAAAAAGACAACACATATTAATCTGACATTTTCCATGAGTAAGGAGTCTGGGTACCATGTAGCTAGATCCTCTGCTCAGACTTGATGTCAAGGTGTGGGCTTGGGCCGCAGTACTCAGCTAGGGCTTGGGGTTCTTCCAGCTCACTGATTGTCGGCAGAATTCACTTTGTTGCACTTGTGGGACTGAGGTCCTCTTATTCTACCGGTTCTTAACTGTGGATTGCTCTCAGGCTCTAGAAGCTCTCCCTCCCCACCAGCAGTTCACAGTGAGGCTATTTGCCTTCTATCTGAGGCCAGTAGCAAGGCCTCTCATGCCCTGAATCCCCATCATGTTTCATATGTTTTGGATTTTCTTCTGCCATCAGCAGGAAAAAAAAATGCTGTGCTTTTAATGGTTTCACCTGATGAGATTAGGCTCACCTGGATAATTTACATATTTAAAGGCTAATTGAATTGGGATTTAATTACATTTTCAAATTCCTTTCTTAGTGGTTCCTAGATTAGTGGGTGGGAGGGGGAGGACCTTAGGGGAGATCAATCAATCAATCAATTACCATAGTGGTGGACTATGCAGCTGTGAAAAGGAACTAGGAGGATCTCATACACAACTATGGAATGATCGCCAAGATATACCATTATTCCGCAAAAAACCCCAACAAACCCAAAACCCAAGGTATGGAACAATATTTATAGTGTATAACCTTTTGTTAAGAAAGAGAGTGAAATAGGAAAGATATATGCATTTTCTAATATTTTTGAAAATAAATAATGGGAGGATACATAAAAAGTTAACAAAAAAATGTCAGTTTACAGGGGTGCCTTGGTGGCTCAGTTGGGCTCAGTTGGTTAAGCATCTGCCTTTGGCTCAAGTCATGATCTCAGGGTCCTAGGATTGAGTCCCACATTAGGCTCCCTGCTCAGCTAAGAGTCTGCTTCTCCCTCTCCCTCTGCCTCTCCAACCCACCCCCCATGTGCTCTCTCTCTCCCAGTTGAATAAATAAGATCTTCTACAAAAATATCAATTTATAGGGGTAGGAAGGAAACAGGGACAAGGATGAAAGTTAGACTTCTCTGAAGTACCTGTTTTGTGGTTTACACTTAAGACCCATGTAAATGTTTTATATAATTAAAAGACAAAGTTATATAAAAATGATAAAAATAAAACAATTTCTAAAAAATTGTAAACACTTGGTATCCGGTGTTTGGTGTAACCCTTCAGAGAAGAACTGTTTAAAGAGCTCTTAAATCAAAGTATTTTGACTATATTGCTTTATACTTTAGGGATGAACTCCATTAAGAAATCTTAAATTGCATTCAATTTTCTTGTTGTCAATGTTAATATTTGTATTGCTGAGGTTTTTTTGAAATTGCAGTAAAATACACATAACATATCTTAACCATTTTAACTGTACAGCTCACTACTATTAAGCACAGCGATATTGTGCAACCATCACCACCATTCCCCTCAGGGACTTTTCACGTTATAAAACTGAAACATTCTACCCTTTAAATAATAACTCTCAGATTCAGCTCCCCCAGCTTCTGGCAATCACCATTTGGCTTTCTGTCTTTATGATTCTAACTTTCTCATATAAGTGAAATTACACAATATTTGTTTTTTCTAGCTTATTTCATTTAGCATAATATCCTCAGGTTTCATCTATGTTATACCATATTGCAGAATTTCTTTCCTTATTGAGGCTGAATAATATTGCATTATATGTGGGTAGCACATCTTGCTTATCTACCATTTGTTGAAGGTCCTTTGGGTTGCTTCACCTTTTAGCTATTGTTAATAACGCTGCTATGAACCTGGGTATACAAATATCACTTGATATCCTGCTTCTGCCTTCAGTCTTTTGAGTATATGCCCTGAAATGGAATTACTGTATTACACAGTCATTCTATTTTTAATTTTTTTAGGAAACACCATTCTGTTTTGGAGAGCTACTGTACCAGTTTACATTCCCACCAACAGTGTAGAAGGGTGCCAATTTTTCCATGTTCTCATTGATACTTGTTATTGTCTTTTTGTTGTTGTTGTTGTTGATAGGAGCCATCCTAAAGAGCGTGAGGTTTTACTTGTGTATCTTTGCCAGCCATTTCAAATCCCTTCTGGATCTAGATGAAATAAAAATAATATTTAAAAAATAACAGCCAATTTGCTTACATTTTCTTTTCCCTCCCTCCCTCTCTCTTTCTTTGCTCTTCTCCATTTATTCAAACTGCATCCAGTCCTCCAATCCAGCTTTTCCATGCACTCCTGTATTTGTTTTGTTGACCTCCCTCTCTTATTTCTGAGCTCTTGTGTTAATATCATTTTTCACTTTAGGGTTTCCAACTATTTGCTAGTGTTTGTGTGTGTTGGTCCTGTTGTCCCAGGTTGTGTATTTATTAGCAAGACCCATGAAACTTGTACTTTTTTGAATCCTCTAATGCAGTGATACTCTATCAAGAAATGCTTCCTTTTGGGGCACCTGGATAGCTCAGTGGGTTGAGCCTCTGCCTTCTGCTCAGGTCATGATCTCAGGGTCCTGGTATTGAGTCCCGCATCAGGCTCTCTGCTCCGCGGGGAGCCTGCTTCCCTTCCTGCCTCTCTGCCTACTTGTGATCTCTGTCTGTCAAAGTGAATAAATAAAATCTTAAAAAAAGAAATGCTTCCTTTTAATAGTATCCTTGTTAACAAACGCTCAAGTTTTAGCTTATTAACTCTCAACACTCAGCACGTCCTCTTTAGAACTGTAGGAACCTGTTTTTGTTTGCCGCAGACATGCTTGTTTCATCGGTCTGCAAGACTATTCAATCACTCAGCGTTTCTTGAGTTCCTGCTATATATGGTGTTCTTGATAGGCATCTACCTTTGCAACACCCTTTGAGATGAATGGTAATATGCAGGTGGGGTGAGATCTATTTCCGTTGCAACTTGGATTAGGTACAGGTAGGATAGGTTTTGTGTGAGTCTGATACTTGGGGGTCACTTCTTCAATAGGCAGAGCATTTAGTCTCTAGCCAAAAACAATTCCTGAATGAAAGGCAGACAATGGAACTCTGAATAATGTATATCCTGGATTTTAACTAACATAATCAATTTATCTGGGCTGACGGGACTGTTATGATTTTAAAACGTTAAGGCCGGCGTTTTAACCCCATTAGTTCCAGGCAAACTGGAATGGTAGTTCATCTGAACTCTAATTCTGACTCTCATGTCCCAACGGGTATGGATGTCAGCCGGACTCCCCTTCACTGCCTTGAGTACATTTCCCACTGAGCAGTGAGCCCATGCCTCTTCTGCTCCTTCGTGAAGACTACAAGTCCCAGCATGCAGCGCAGCCCTTCCAGGCCTTCCCAGCCCCCCTGGGCTCTTCCACGCTTGCATCTCCCATAGGGCTCCGGGCCTGGTAGCCTGTGCGCGCTGACGTAGATGCGTATGCGGCGTACTCTTCGCGCCTCTTCCCCCGCCTACTGGGTTGCCGAAGTCCGGCGGCGGGAGGTGGAAAGCGGTGTTATCGTTTTTTTTTTTTTTTTTTTTTCTCTTTGGCGGCAGTTTGGCTTTTTAAGAAGCTTCTGTGGTTTAAAAGCCAGGGAGAATCTGGAAAGGGGCCGTCACTCTTAGCCCTCTTTTCCTCCGAGTTTGCGTCTCCGTGGGCCAAGATGGACAAAGTTTGTGCTGTCTTCGGAGGCTCTAGAGGCATTGGGAGGGCAGTGGCCCAGTTAATGGCCCAAAAAGGCTACCGACTGGCCATCATCGCCAGAAATCTGGAAGTGGCCAAAGCCGCCGCCGGTGAGCTCGGCGGTAGGTACCGAAATGGAGTTGCCCAGGTTGTGTGGCTGCAGTCCGAGAGCCGAAAGTTGCCTCGTTTGTAAAACGAGAGGGTCTGGCGTTTACGGCTCTGCGGGTTAGCAGTTTAGCTCCCCACGTCCAGGAGTACCCCGTCTTGAGTGTGGACACCTGTTTGGGCAGAGAATCCTCAACACCCGGTTTCCCGCAGTGTCTCCTCCCACACCGCCTGTCGCTAGGGGCTGAACACTTGGGGTTTTCTTTGAGATTTAGCGGTCCTTTGAGGCCCTACTAATTAAGCACCCACCCCCCTGAGTCTAGGGCTAACCGTGCTGCGTTGTTTTGTTTTGGTGTCTGGAAGGAGGGAGACACACAACAGTTAATTTTTTATGCAGGGTAAAGGGTACCCTCGTGCCACGAAGTCCCGGGCGCCACTGGGAGACAGGGCTGGGCGGAAAGGAGTTGAGGCAGGAAGGGTAGGCATGTCAAGCCTGAAAGCCTCGCTGTAGTTTTTGCGGCGCTGTAGTCTTGCTGCAGGCTGTGGTTTTGTTTTGTTCGGTTCGGTTTTGTTTTGTTCTGTTTTTAGGTTGCGGGCTGTGTTTTATAGACAAACTCTTTTGAATACTAGCCGGTTTTGAGATGAACTTTTTTTGGCTCTCCTACATCCGTAGCCACTTAATAGGTTATTACATTGTTTTGGTGGCTTTTACAATTGGAAAATTGACTCAGATTCCTTTTTATTGCATTTAAAATCCAATGTTTTGGTTTATTAATAATGGATTAGTAATTGTTTTGCATTATTTTGCAACTATAAGCAACTATAAACAATTACTATAAGTAATTGTTTTGCATTATTTTGCAACTATAAGCAACTATAAACAATTACTATAAGTAATTGTTTTGCATTATTTTGCAACTATAAGGGAGAATTAGGATGAACGAAAGATGCCAGGATGCTGCAATTTAGTTAGTAGGAGGCACGAATGCACTTCGTTCACTATCTGGGAGGCATTGGGAAGAGGCCTGGGGATGAACCTGGAGGCTGTTACTTTAACGTTACTATTGGTTACTATTGGTTTACTCTAATTGTGCACTTGGGTTGGGAAAATATTAGATTCTTTTTAGAGAGGAGATTAGATTCTTTTTAGAGGGGGGGGAACCCCGTAAGTTACAGAACAGGCAGGATTTCAGTGAATGCTTCTTGCTACTCATATTTACTGTGTCACAAAGGAGTGAGAAAGTGATTTTCCTAATGGTGTCATCCCAAGCCATTAGTATTTGCTGGAATAGATTAAAAATGTTGGTTGAGCTTCTTAGGGTTATTGTGAACCCAACAAGTTTTCAGATGAAAGCCAACAGTGGGTCACAGAGGATGCTTTTGGGCGTTTTACTTCTTTGAATTTGTGTTCCAACACCTAAAAGGTGTAACTTCCCAGAAAGCTTACTGCTTCCAAGGACCTGAGGGTATAATTTTAGCGTTGACCACTACTAGGTGAGGTCAGCCAGAAAATAAGCAATTGTTTAGTTTTTTAAAAACTCCATTTTAGAGTATTACAATTATGTATTATTGAATGGAAAATGCTTTCTTTGACATGTATTCTTTTGGTATTTAAACATCTTTAAAAAGTGAGCATTTAAAAAAGGGGAAGTAACAGTTGTTTTTGGTAAAAAGTTTGTGTGTATGTTTTTTAGTTTTGACTTTTTTTTTTATAGCTTCCTGCTTTGTAGTGGGGAGACTTGAATAATAGTTACTGTAATATATGTGCCATAGTTAAAAAAAAAAAAAGTGGAAGACCCCTGGGTTTTATTCTCAGGACCAGGGAACCCATTTAACAAAAACGTAATGGAATTAGACATAAATTTCGAAAAAGAAATAAAAAAAACAAACACTGTTGAATTGGATAGCATGGGGTCGCCATCAAAGCCAGAAATATTATAGGAATTTTACAAAGCCTTATGAATACAAAAAGGCCCTCCTTCCATTTTTTTTTTCCTGATTAAAAAAACATTTTTAGGATTTAATTCTTTACTTCTCCTTGTTCCCCATCTTTATTTCTCTTTGTTTCCCATCTTTACTTCTCCTTGTTCCCCATCCACCCTCATCCCAGTTTTATTGGACTGAACTCCTTGAGAGGAGGAATCCATGACATAATCATCTTTTATCTCTAGATTGTAATAATCACAGGCTTAGGTCATAGTAGATGCTCAACAAATGTGTATTGAATAATTTTTAAATTGAGATTATAATTTATAAGTAATGCTAATTTAACTTTGTTCTATAGGAGATCATTTAGCGTTTAGCTGTGATGTTGCCAAAGAACGTGATGTTCAAAATACATTTGAAGAGATGGAAAAAAATTTAGGTCGAGTTAATTTTTTGGTAAACGCAGCTGGAATTAACAGGTTGGTCCCAAATTTAAGTACATTTCCTGTATGGTTTTTTTTTTTTCCCCCCTAGTATGTCTTTGATTGGTATGAGTAAATATATTAACTTGCTTTACTTGTAACTGGAAGAAAATATGTATTTTTTATACATTCTTTTCTTTTATGTTGAGATACCAATAAGGGTATAGTTTGATCAATTTTAACATTGCAGTCACACCCATATTGAACTATAGATCTTTTCCAGCATTCTAGAAGGCTCCCTTCAGTTTCTTCCCAGCTAATACTATGTTACAGGTAACCACTATTCTGACTTCTGTCACCATTGTATAAGTTCATGAACTTAATGGTATTAAAGTAGATATTTTCTTTTTAAAGGTGAATTTAGGATAATATTTAGAATAGTATATTTTCTTGCTAAACAGAGCTTACTATAATGGCAGTTGCTTAGTTCATTCAAGCTATTTTGGTTATATGGCATTACTTTTAGTAGTTAGGAATATTTGCTTCTGAACCCTACTTCTAGGTCTATCTTTTCTCATTTATCAGTTGTTATGTCAATTCCCTTCAAATATGGATTAAAATGGGACTCTGTAGGTATTCTAGCTCACATATATTCCTAATACTCTACTTTCAGTTAAAGTGTTATACATTTTTGACTTTTTAAATTGGTTTTATCCCATTTTTAATTTATATGCTACTGTTTTTTAAATTGTATTTATTTGTTTTTTGTAGGGATAGCCTTTTAGTAAGAACAAAAACTGAAGATATGATATCTCAGCTTCATACTAACCTCTTGGGTTCCATGCTGACTTGTAAAGTTGCCTTGAAGACTATGATTCAACAGCAGAGAGGGTCTATTGTTAATGTAGGTGAGTCTTAACCTGTGAAATTAGACTTATCTCATAGTACCATAAAAATATTTAATTGACTAATTTGGAGTTTATTCATGTGTGAAACTTGGATGAAATGGGTCTTTTTACAATTTATGGAAAGAAGGACTTGATTAACCAATTAGTGGGTAAATTAGGAACCACAAATTCATTCTTGTAATGCTGAAGCAGATGTGAATTGAATGACACCACCAGGTATTCGAAAATATGATCTATGACAAAAGGTGCCTGGCTTCATTGTCCAGAAGCCATGTCAAGTGGCAGCCACTGTTTAGATCCAGTTGATTATTCCTACACACAGATCTGGTCTCAGTTTTGCCAGCCATTTGACTTTTTAAGAGAAAGTGATTTTCATGTAAAACCTGATTTTTAAAATATGGATAAAGAATTGAAAAATTTTGGGTAGTGGGGACTAAAAAAATGATCTCTACAGCAGTTGCATGTGTCACTAATAAATCTAGTACAGAGGTTTAGGAGGAAGTTTTCTTAGGGGAATAAGCTTTTCAGTTTTTTAGAATGAATGTAAGTAACCCCTAGTCTTCAGTTCATCTGACCCATGGGGCAGGTAGACCATGTAGTATGTGCTTGTAGACCTTAAAATGCAAAATGACTTACAGTTCTATTCCAGTTTGGTAATTTGAAAATAGCGGCATATCATCTGCCTTTTAATTTTAAGTGATAATATCTTAAAAAGCCACATAAGGGGAATCCTGCTCTGTTAAAGTAAATGATCCTATTTTTAATATAGGAAATGGCTTTCCAAGCCAAAATGTATGGTTTTTCTCTTTTGAAAATGAGAAAAGAATACTGTGCTAATTAGAATTAGAACATTTTTGACATTTACCCTTAAAAATGTAAGGAATGAATTTTCTTAAAAAAGATCAGTAAATGATTAAAAAGTAAAAGATGAGTCGACCTTTGCCTCCTAACACAGCCAGGTAATGATTTTGGATTCTCAGAAGCTGGTGTACTGGCCTCTATACACCGCCTGATGTATAAAACTCTAAAATATCCCTTTTTAGATACATTTAAAAAACGTACATCAGTCCTTTGTGTATTTGCAGAACTTTTAGAATTGTGCTAAAAGTAAATAAAAATAATTAAAAATCAGGGAATCTTTTTACAGAAATGACTAAACTGCTAGTAAGTTCATTGATTAGTTCAGAAGTTTAACAGTTATTGACTAGATGGACAATAGTGTGTGGTATAAACCAAAGCTTCCTATTTGGCCTTTCTCCCATGCCTATATTTTTCTTTCTTTTTTGTTTCTCTGGATTTCTCTTTCTCCTGGATACCCCTTTTTCTGTCTGTGTTTCCTCTGTCTGGTGTTTCTCTCTCTGTGCTTCACAGTTCTCTTGCTTTGTCATTCCCTGGCATTGAATATATAAGGCAGATATTTTAATTTTGAGCTTGTTGATTATAATATATATAAAAGTGTTTGGTTTGGTTTTTTTTTTTCCTAAAATAAAATTACTTTTTCAAAGATTTTGTGAAGTTCTTGATTAATTTTTATATTGTAAGTACAGGTCACTCGTGCAGAAAATCACTTCCCTGTTTCTGTTTTGCAAGAATAAATATTTGCATTCAGTTGATAGTTAAATTATAAATTATTTCATATTCATATAAATGAGACCACCCAAGAATCTTTAGTAGTCAGTACAAGTTACGATACATCATTGAAGATAACTAAATTGCAGTTTTACAAAAAGTTTATAATTGAACCTTTGTTATTTTAGATTGATGGTAGTTCAGATTTAGTGAGATTTATCTTCAGATGAATTATTTTTTAGATGGAAATGAATACCTCCTCATCTTTGTGTTGTAGAACCATAAACTTAATCAGCCTTTATCTGATTTTTTGTGGTTCTAACCTCTTCCTACTGGCACCTTTTATAAATACTATAGGACTTCACCATGTCTGACCTACTCACAGATGAGAGTGGGTTTCTTTCACTTGATGGATCAGTTCTCAAGCCCCTTCCTGACATTTGAGGTTTTACATAAGCTTCTTTCAGAACCTGTTTTCTGTTTGTATCTGGAGAAGACTTAAACCCTAAGTCTTACTACTCAAATGACGGTAGTTAGAATTCCTAATTTTCTCAAAGGGCAAGGTAAACTGGTTTGTACCTTTTTTGTTTACTCTAAATTATCTAAATATTGAAATAACCCATTAATTGGTTTGAATTTGCTTTTGTTTTATTTTTTTCTAGGAAGTATTATTGGTTTAAAAGGCAATTCTGGCCAGTCTGTGTACAGTGCAGGTAAAGGAGGACTAGTTGGATTTTCACGCGCTCTTGCTAAAGAAGTAGCAAGAAAGAAAATTAGAGTGAATGTAGTTGCACCAGGTCAGTGAAAACTTTTTTCTTTTTTTAAAAATTGGAGTATAGTTGACATACAATATTATGTTGTTTCAGGTATATAATATAGTGATTCAGAAAATTACATTATTATGAAATGTTTACCATGAGAGATGTAACTACCATCTGTCACTATACAAAGTTATTAAAATATTACTATGTCCCCTGTGCTGTACTTTCCGTCCCTGTGACTTATTTTATTTTATAATTGGAAACTTGTACCTTTTAATCCTCTTCACCTATTTTGCTTGTCCCTCCAACCGTCTCTCTTCTGGCAACCATCAATTCTCTGTATTTATGAATCTGTTTCTGTTTTTTTTTTTGTTTTGTTTTGTTTTTTTTGGTTCGTTTTGTTTTTAAGATTCCATGTATAAGTCCTATCATGTTATTTGTCTTTTTCTCCCTCTTACTCACTTAGCATAATACCCTCTAGATCCATCCATGTTGTTGTCAATGGCAAGATTTCCTTCTCTTTTATGGTTGAGTAATATTCCACTGTGTGTATATATCACATCTCTTTATCCATTCATGTATCATGGATGTTCATTTAGGTTGTTTCCATTTCTTGGCTATTATAAATAATACTGTATTAAACATGGGGGGGCATATATGTAATGAATTAGTATTCTTCTCTCTGTAGATACCTAGAAGTAGAATTACTAGGTTGTATGATATTTCTATTTTTAAGTTATGGAGGATCCTCTGTACTGTTTTCCATAGTGGCTGCGCCAGTTTGTGTTCCCACCAGTGATGCCCAAGGGTTTCCTTTTCTTCAGATTCTTGCCAACCCTTGTTATATTTTGTCTTTTAAATACTAGTCCTTCTGACAGGTCTAAGGGGCTATTTCATTGTTGTTTTAATTTGTACTTCCTTGATGATTATTGATGTTGAGTATCTTTTTACGTGTCTGTTGGCCATCTCTATGTCTTCTTTGGAAAAATGGTGATTCAGGTCTTCTGCCCATTTTTTAATGGGATTATTTGGGTTTTTTTGTTGAGTTGTATACGTTCTTTTATACTTTGGATATGAACTCCTTATTGGATATATCATTTGTAAATATCTTCTCCCATTCAATAGATTGCCTTTGGTTTTGTTGATTCCCTCCCCCACCCCCGGACAAAAGCTTTTTAGTTTGATGTAATCCGAATAGTTTATTTTTGCTTTTGGTTTCCTTGCCTGAGGAAATAGATACAGAAAAATATTTCTAAGACTAATGTCCAGGGTATTACTGCCTATGTTTTCTTTTAGGAGTTTTGTGGTTTCAGATATCACATGTACATCTTTAATCTATTTTTAGTTTATTTTTATGTTTGATATAAGAAAATGAGCCAGTTTCATTATTTTGCTGTTCGGTTTTTTTAAACACCACTTATTGAAGAGAGTGTCTTTTCTTCATTGTATATTCTTGTCACCTTTGTCATAGATTAATTGACCATGTAAAAGTGGGTTTATTTCTGGGCTCTTCATTCTGTTCCATTGATATGTGTGTCTGTTTTTGTGCCAGTACCATACTCCTTTGATTACTGTAGCTTTATAATGTGACTTCTGGGATTTTGATGCCTCCAGCTTTGTTCTTCTTCAAGATTTTCTTGGCCAGGGGTGCCTGGCTGGCTCAGTTGATAGAGTATGTGACTCTTGATCATGGGGTCATGAGCTCAGGCTCCACACTGGGTGCAGAGATTACTTAAATAATAAATAAATAAATAGATTGTTTTGGCTATTTGGGGTCTTTTGTGAGTCCATATAAATTTTAGGATTCTTTGTTCTAGTTCTGTGAAAAATTACTATTAATATTTTGATAGGGATTACTGAGGTAGTAGATATTTTAACAATTCTTCTAATCCACAAGCATGGAGTATCTTTCCATTTTTTCTGTCATCTTCAGTTTCTTCATAAGTGTCTTACAGGGTTCAGAGTATATGTCTTTCATCTCCTTGGTGAAGTTTATTCCTTAGGATTTTATCCTTTTTGGTGTAAGTTTAAATGGGCTTTAAAAAAAAAAGATTTTGTTTATTTAACAGAGAGAGGCATCGAGAGAGGGAACATAAGCAAGGAATGGGAGAGGGAGAAGCAGGCTTCCCACTGAGCAGGGAGCCCAATATGGGGCTTGATCCCAGGATCCTGGGACCATGACCTGAGCCAAAAGCAGACGCTTAACAACTGAGCCACCCAGTAACTCCTAGGATTGTTTTTTTTTAATTTCTCTTTTCTTCTAGTTCTTTATTAGTGTATGGATATGCAACAGATTTCTGTATTGCTTTTGTATCCTACAACTTTACTGAATTCATTTATTACTTCTAGTAGGGTTTTGGTGGACTTTTTAGGGTGGTGTGTGTGTATGGGGGGGTAATGTCATTTGCAAATAGTGATAGTTTTACTTTTTTCTTTTTAAATATAATTTATGTACACTGTGGCTTTGTACAATAATAGCAGAGATTATTCCTGTGTTTGTAAGTACATCAGTATTATCAGGTACGTCTGAGTATCAGAATAGGAACATGGAATCTTCATGGTTACTAAATTCTTGAGTAGTGAAATGTGTGATGGCATGACTATGTCTTGACAGGACTTAAGTGGCTACACCTGCTTATATTGCCAGTCTCTGCACTACCCTCAAGGAGGCGGCCAAGGCTGTTTTGTTTGTGTAAACCACATTGCTTTTTTTTTTTTTTTTTTTTTTAATTTTACAGAGAGAGGGAGTGAGGGAGAGAGAGAATCTTAAGTAGGCTTCATGCCCAACATGGAGCCTGATGTGGGGCGTGATCTCATGACCCTGAGATCATGACCTGTGCCAAAATCAAGTTAACCAACTAAGCCACCCAGGGGCCCCTGGCCCCACATTGCATTTTCTAGTAAATGATTACTCTTAAACTGAAACCACAAGAGAAACTTCTCATTTAAAAATTAGTTATAAATTAAGAACTCTTAAGGGTTGAATGTGAGAATTTCAAGTTGGGGCGGTGGGTATTGGTAATGTATCCACTAGTTGAATTGTATACTTTGGAGAACTATTTGCATTTTAAGTGTCCTTCTCTCTTCTTGGAATGTTCCACTGATTTATTGCTCACTGGGATAAATTTGCTAATTAATTTAGACTTTGTCAGTGTCAAAGCAGAGCTTTCCAAGTATTAATGTGTATATTACCTAAATATATTTCTTCAGTTTATCTTATAGAAATAATACTTCTCTATATTTAAAATATTTTAATAGGTCTATAATACAGTATGCTTTTAATAACAGAATAGACCAGAGGAAATTATCAAATTATCATATGTGATGTCATTTGCACATTTCACCAAGCAGTCATGTACAATAACTGACATACTGATTTTTCCAGGAAGTTGGTATTTAGAAAAATAATTGCCAGGGGTCACATAGTGTTTGTTTTCAAAGTAATGTCTTTCACTGGACCTCATTGTACCCTAGAGAGCTATCCAGGATTCATGTTAGAATTTTAACACAGAAAAATTTGAAGGATAAAAAGATATTTATACAGACTCAGGAGGAAGAAACACCGTTTTAGAAATCAGCCTATGAAGTAGCAAGATTTTAACAGTGATTTTATCTGTAGTTGTCTCTTTAACAAATGGATAGGGGCTCTGAGGCTCATTGTTGATGGCATGGGAGGAACAAAGTGGTAGGACATGATAACAGAGATGAGACTGAATACTCGGGCATCAAAAAATACTATTACATATGACCAAGGCACTGCTTAGAGAAACAAAGGTTTCTAAAACCAGACATATGTTGGAGTGGCCAAGAATGAAGATGACTGTTTAATAGATGTGGCTGTTTAATAATTTTCAAAATAGAAGTCACAGTGGGAAGCTTATAGTAGAGCTAGTCTCCTAGAGGAAATCTATGAGGAACTCTTGTCTTCTTCTTAATGATGTAGGAAGAACCAAGTCAGCAGAGATGCAATTCACTTGTAATACAAAGCAAGTTTGATTTGAGCTAAGAACACGGAAATCAGAGACTTCTCAAGAAGACAAGTAGAGGTGCGCTTGGGTGGCTCAGTGGGTTGGGCTTCTGCCCTCGGCTCAGGTCATGATCCCAGTGTCCTGGGATTGAGCCCCATATCGGGCTCTCTGCTCGGCGGGGAGCCTGCTTCCCTCTCTCTCTGCCTGCCTCTCTGCCTACTTGTGAACTATGTCTGTCAAATGAATAAATAAAATCTTAAAAAAAAAAAAAGACAAGTAGAATATTATTGTGTACCTGTGGCTTTTATTGTGCTTACTTTGGGCATTCCTCATGGCTGGAAAATACCGATGGATTAAATGGGATGCAAAGCCAGTTAACTCGGTCTGTCAGTTACAGGTAATCGGAAAATACTAAAACAATGATTGGAATTATAGTGTAGCTTGCCAAAGTCTAAAGAAATTTTTCATTTCTGGGTGCTTATGTGGCTCAGTTGGTTAAGCATCTGCATTCTGCTCAGATCATGATCCCAGGGTTCTGAGATCAAGTCCCATATTGGGCTCCCTGTTCAGCGAGGAGTCTGCTACTGCCTCTCCGCACCCCCACCCCCCGCCCCGCTCATGCTCTCTCTCTCTCATGGTCTCTTTCTCTGTCTCTCAAATGAAATGCTTCAGAAAAATTTTCCAATTCTTAACTTATGCTAAGTCTTTTAAAATAAATTCAGATATGCAGCTTACAGCTGGTTTGTTGGTCTTCAAATTAATTGCCTTAAATTTTAAACAAGTTCTTTTCCACTCAGTAGCCTTCTGTACTCATGAACACAGAGCATTCTACAAGTCACTTAAATTCCATTTTAGAATTTCCTCCTTCACCTTAAATTTTCAGTGTTGTAAGTAATCTGAAAGACAGAAAGAGGGATGAAGTGTGAGTGTGTTGATTTAATTAATCTTCAAGACAGAGTTATAAAACCAATTTCCACTTAAACTGAAATAAGAACACAGAATTATAAGGAAAAACTTTTGCCAAAGCTCATCTTGAAAAGGTTAAGTTGCTCAGTTTGAGAAAGGGGC